TTGCTGTAATAATGTTAAAATACTTTTTCTGCTATCCATGTTAGCAACACAAAAATAAGTTTAGTGTGGTGAATTTTGTTGTGTAAAGTCATATCTATTTCCACAAGCAAAAAAATAAATCATACTCCATTCAAGATGACAGAGAAACATAATTCTCTACTTTCCTCTTATACCTAGCTATGCTATAATTACAGAAAACTAATGTTTTAAAATAAGAATTGTAATGCTGCAAAAAAAAAAAAGACAGTATAGCGAGCATGTGAAAATGCTAGAAGAGGAAAAGTAGACAGGATCTATCTTTTTAAAAGATTTATTTATTTTATTGGAATGGCAGATATACAAACAGAAGGAGATAATAGAGAGAAAGATCTTCCATTTACTGGTTCACAACCCAAACAACTGCAAAGGCTGGTGCTGAGCTTTCTGAAGCCAGGAGCTTCTTCTGTGTCTCCCACACAGGTGCGGGGGTCCCAAGGCTTTTCAGCCACCCTCTACTTCTTTCTCAGGCCACAAGCAGGGAGCTAGATGGGAAGTAGAGCAGCCAGAATTAGAACTGGCACCCATATGGGATCCTAGGCATGTAAGGCGGAGATTCAGTCATTAGGTTATTGCATGGGGCCCCCAGATCTATTTTTTGAAAAAATTAGAGCAGGGGAACTATGATCTTCAGTATTTAAGCAGAAATGGTTCTCAACATCCAAGGGATCCTCAAAGGTTTTTCATGCTCAGAGTTAACACCTACAACAAGTAAGAGTGGATTCTGAAATAATGTCAGAATAATTAATTCTGGAACCATATTGAAAAAGACAAGACTTCTTCCTTTTACTCCGTATTCCCAACCTGAACACAGAGCAAGTGGTAACGAAAGCTGAGGTTTTACAAACGATAGAGAAAATTGACAATCTTTTACATTCCTGTCCAGTTTAGGCCTATGGCTGTTGACATACTGCCTCCAGACATGAAAGAAACAGCATTCTTCTGGATTTCCCAATCAGCTGCTAAGACCCAGAAAACACAATCCATTTCAAGAAGGGTTGAAGGACACTCAAAACGGAAAATTCCTGCCAGCAAGAGATAGAGTCTAGGATTGCACCAATAACAAAATAACCTCCTGTGACTCACAGCGATGGCCTTGCTACCCGATAATGTCACACACAAAAAACCAAGTGTGTCAACTTTGCTAACTATTGTTTTTGCTGTGGCTTGTTGGGGAATATGATTAGAACGATATGTATATTTTCAAAGCTTTGTCTACTTATTAGAAAGTTATAGAGACAGAAGAAAACAGAGAGAAATAACTCTTTATCTTGTGCTCTACTCCCCAGATGCCCAGAATAGCCAAGGTCAAGCTAGGCTGATGCTAGAAGCAGGGAATTCAATCCAGGTTTCCTACATGAGTATCCAGGACCCAAATACCTGAACTATCACCTGCATTTTTATAAGGTGAATATTAACAGGAAGCTAAAATGGAAAACCTAGCTGTGCCTGAATCTCAAGTACTCTGACAAAGGATGGGGACATCTCAAAGAGTGACGTAGCTGTTACACCCAAAGTCCAACCAAAAATAATAATATCTGAAAGTAATAAGGAGATCATTACTGGTGCTACATAAGATAGTAATACAAAATTGCACACACAGACACCAAAATTAAGCTTTAGCTAATGGTTAACTGGCTGGAAGTTGAAGCAGAGAAAGGAGACCAGATGGTTACAGTAAGTGTTAAGTATGGAGAACACAGTAAACAAAATGTAGTACACTGAGGCATATGCTTTTGATGGGCATAGATAACTTGTTAAAAAAAAAAAAAAGAAAATGTTAACTTGAGGTTAACTAGTAAGCTAGTGACTAAGTGAATGGATAACTTAAATCATAATCTGATCAACAGAAGACATCTTTGTCAGCTTTAACAGAGACTCAGGACAGTCTTGCAAAAATCAACATTAAAACCTGATTATGATGATGTTAGAACAGCAGAGGAAACTAAAATCTCTCATGTCAGTACCAGAGCTGATAAAAAAGATTAAGCTCCTCAGATCTGTGATAGTCCCTTGGTGATTGGGAGCAGGGAAGTGGGGAGAGGGCTAACACCAATAAGCATGAATCCCTAAATTGCCGTGAGGTCTCCTGTTGGATAGAAGCAGCCTCACATTCCCAAGAAGAAAAGAGGCTCTGCTTGCCTTGGACCACAAATTGGCTAAGATCTCAAGGCCTGCTCTTATCATCTCTCACTGATCTGAGACAATCATCAAATCAGATCTTAACACAAAGCTTCATTCCAGTTCCTATGCCAAAGCCACTGAAGGACAGAGCAAAATCTGAAATTTAACAAAAGGAAATGAAAGAACATATATGCAAATGGATGTGAGTATTTTAGATAGAGGCAGAAAATGGAGGATAGAGTATTGGCAGAATTCAGTGACACATCCTGACATCAGACAAAAGTCGGTGTTTTGCCTTTTTACATTTTTTCTCATATCGTTTTTTCATTCATGATCAATAAAAATGTCACTGATATCATTTAAATAAAGTACAGTATCTCCATCCAGTGAAACACAATTATTTAAAAATATTGATGATACGGCTGTCAAAAGAGATTTGGGTGAATATATGCTTAATTTTTGAGACTAAGTGGTAGTAAAGACACTGAATATTCACTTTTGTTTATTTGTTTATAAATATCCAGGTCATCTATCATATGAATATTTTCAACTCTAAAAACATTGTTAAAGGAAAATATAAAATATGCTCATATTATACTATGATACTTTTTAAGTTGAGCACAGATTTTTACATTGTTGGTAAAGAATGAAGGCACTAGGAAAATGCATTTAAAAAAAAAATCACACTGGGAAATGAGCCCAGCAAAATAAACACACAGGCCTTTTTCTATCTCCCACTCACTGAACCTGCATTGAACGTAATAAATAAAATACCAAACATGGTTATATTTATACAAAAGAAAACCTAAATTTATCAATTACATGATTTTTAAAAATGTGAAGAAACAAGTAGAAGAAAACTCTTTACAAATTAAGTGGTTAAACGGCAATAATTTATTTACTTGTGCCATTGTAAGACAGCCATCCTAGCTTCACAAAAACAGTTGGCTTAATAAGAGAAACAAAAATTACCCTCTGTTCTCTAATTTTATTAGATTAAAATTCTAACTCCCTTAATTAGTAATTGAGCATAAGAAGCTTTACGGTAAAACACTGTAATAAATACAGTAGGTTTTTTTGTTGTTGTTTTACAAATGCATTTTGAAGGTGCAATACTCTAAGATATCCTAACAAGTTAATTTTTTTTTCTACATTTTATCTTAAAGTCAGAAAATCTCTTTTCAGAGAGGATGAGATTCCCACAAACTAGCTGCAATCTCAACAGAAAATAACTGTTTAAGTTGCTCTGAATTTATTTAACCTCTAGAACTTACTTATTACAAATAAGATGCAATGTACAACTAACTAATTTGTTTTTTCAATATATAAACTTTGAGTTAATTTTTATATGTGCTATTTAATAATTCATATTTGCTTTTTTGGCAGTAGTGCCAAAAAATTGATTTGAGACATTTAACAGTAGATAACCAATATAAACTATATTTTTGTAGTGAAAGCAAAGTACAATAAATTATCACGCCATTTGATTTTTATCAAATCAGTTGTTTTTATATCTAGTATTTTATACACAAAGTAAAAAGTAGAAAGTAGGTAAAGTTGAAATTGCATAAATTCCTTTTAATACAGAGTTCAGTATAATTCTTGCAAAAATATATCAGTTATTTGATGACATTGGTATAAAATTCAAATGTATGTGTCATAAAAAAAAGTCAGCGGCTCCAAAAATGATTTCAGAAAAAAGTTCATGATCAACCAATATAAGGGACAATTCAAAAGGTATTTTCTAGCCATGGTTAGAAATACATCAAGGACTTTTGGAGTCAGAATCAAGATGTCAATTAGTTCAGCAGGCACCTCACATTCCTCAACAAGCCAGAAGGAGCTAGGGTTAACAAAAGCCAGAAGTTCATATCATGCCACAAGCGCTAGGTCAACACAGGTCTAACTTCAAGGAAGGTAACCAGCATTCACAGAACCCACCAGAAAGTTTAGATCTGTCTCCACAGATAAAGATTTCAGAGCTAACAATCACGACACGCATGGCTGTTATCATAGACTTGAGACAAAAATTTCCACCTCTTTACGCAATTCTGACGCCAGTGTAAAATGGTTCCGTCATTCCAGAACACCATCTTGGCATTTCTTAAAGCGTTAGACACTCGGCCATCCCCCAAACAAACTTCTGTTACTGTCCTGGGCATCTCAGAGAAATCAACATCAGTGTTTACACAAAAACCTGCAAGTCCGTGTTAACAGTAGCATGATTTCAAATAGGCCCCTCCTAGAATAAAACCCATACACTTTGCAACGGGCGACTGGTTAAACCGCTTGCGGTATATCCACATCACTGAATATTACGGATCATTGTAAAAGGAACAAGCAGCCATGGCATTTCTATCACCGGCAAACGGGGGAGGCAAACTCAAACTCACCCGGCGCACGCACTAGCGGAATCTGTGACAGGCCGTCCCTGTTTTGCAAGAAACTGGGTAAACAGGACTTAGCCGCACCCACAGCCAATGTTCCAAACTCGGCCTCTGGAAAAACATACCGGGATTCGCCAGCACGCAGAGCCCTCCCAACCCCCACCCAGCCCCCGAGAGGCCGGACTCTGGCGCCTCTTCTCCGCCAGGTGGAGCCGGCACTGGAAGCACTGGAAGCACGGGAAGGGGCTTCCGCCTCAGAGGTCACGCCTCAGAGGCACGCGGCTGCTGAGGAGAGCTCCTGAGGCGGACGCCGCTTGCCTCACTCTGCTTCTCTGGCCGTCTAACCTCTCCTTCCTGGGAGCTAGCTCGCTTGCGCGCGCTCTCCCACGGAACCTGCCTCGAGGGGAAGACGACGACGAAGCAGCCCGGCTGCCCGCTCCATCCAGAGCTACCATGACTCAGCTCCGAAGCTCCGAGGTCCAGCAGCTGCTACACAACAAGTTCGTGGTCGTCCTGGGGGACTCGGTCCAGCGCGCCGTCTACAAGGACCTGGTGCTGCTCCTGCAGAAAGACTGCCTGCTGTCCACTCGGCAGCTCAAGGCCAAGGGTGAGCTCAGTTTCGAAAGCGACATGCTTCTGGAAGGTGGCCGGTGGGGTCGCATGCATAATGGATCAAACTACCGCGAGGTGCGCCAGTTCCGCACTGGTCACCACCAGGTGCGTTTCTACTTTCTGACGCGTGTATACTCTCAGTACGTCGAGAGTGTTCTAGAAGAGCTGCGCTGGGACCAGCATGCCCCAGACGTGGTCATCATGAATTCCTGCCTCTGGGATCTGTCCAGGTACGGTCAGGACTTTCCAAGAAGCTACAGGCAGGATGTGAAGAGCCTGTTCCGGCGCATGCAGCAGGTGCTTCCCCCATCCTGCCTCCTGGTGTGGAATACGGCCATGCCCGTGGCCCAGGTGGTCTCTGGGGGCTTCCTCCCGGAGGACGGCCAGCCCGCGACCGCCCACTTGCGGGAAGACGTGATCGAAGCCAACTTCTACAGCGCCATTGAGGCTGGCCGGCGCGGCTTCGACGTGCTCGACCTGCATTTCCATTTCCGCCATGCCTGGCAGCACCGCCTGGGAGACGGCGTGCACTGGGACAAGTACGCGCACAGGCACCTGTCCCAGCTCCTGCTGGCCCACCTGGCCGATGCCTGGGGCGTGGACCTGCCCCAGCGCCACTCCCAGAGCCTCTGGGACAGAGTTGCTGCTCCCATTAGCCAACGTCCAGCCATCATGGACAGATTGGTAGAAACCGAAGGTGACCAAGACAGATCAGCCTGTGCCGCAGCATCATTCCGTTTTTGGTACCCTCAGATCCCGACGCAAGCCTCAGGGATCTATGCCCCGTCTGCACCACCACCACCTCCTCCTCCTCCTCCTCTTCCTCCACCTCCTCCTCCTCCTCTGATGCCCTACCAGCACTGGGCACACTGGCCTTCTGACCAGCCTTTCCAGCAGGGGCGGTTCTACAGTGAGTCATCCAGACGCCAGGCCGAGAATCCCAGAGAAGCATCCCTGAGGGCTGGTCCGCAGGCACCGCTGGGCGCCATCCGCTCAGGGGCTGCCCACCAAGCCAGGAGGTTTTCTCCCTACCCTCGCCCACGCTCCGGAGACTCACGGAGACGTCGGCGGCGCTCAGAAAGGTGGCCCCCGGCCCGGCGGGAGACAAGGCCCCGATAATTCTGTCTAGACCCTGACCCCTGGTCCTGCGTGGGTCATCTTAAAAATAGGACACTGTCGCCTTCCTCTTAGCACTTGTAGGGAAAAACTCTTGCTGTTGAAGAAAAAAAAGAGAGAGAAAAAAAGAGAAAAAAAAGCTGTTTTTCCTATTGTAGCTCTTCAAAGTAGTAGTATTCATCGTTATGCTTCTGCTAAAGAAAAAACGAGCGTTAAAGACTGAAAATTTACCAAAGCATTTCCGTTAACTCACGTTTCACCATTAGTTTTACATATAATCATGGTCGTAAATCTCCAGCCCTTGCTCTGTAAGTTGTCTTGCTTTTACTGATACGAGAATTAATATTGTAATTTTTCTCTTAGAAATGTGCAGCATTTACTCTCATTGTGAATGGTGTTATTGTTCAGGTATTACATGTCCAGTGTTTTGTTAAAATCGACTTTTGTTAGCGTAATTTTAGGTTAATAGGAAAACTGAGTAGAAAGTACAGTCTGCCTGTACACTCCCTAATTTGCCTCAGGCACTGCTTTTTCTGCTTCCAACATCCTAGCTGAGATAGGACAGTCATCTTTGGTTACCTATTATTGACACAGAATTACTGCTCCAACTCCATAGTTTACATGAGAGTTCATTCAGTGCCTAAGTTTTGTGGATTTGTAAAAGTTTAATGATATGTTTCTAGTATAAAACAGACTCGTTTTACTGCCTTAAAAGTTTGTTCTATTTTTTTCCACTTTGTTCTCTCTGCCAAATCTCCAGCAATGTGTATATGATAAGACTTAGTGTTTACGTAGACAGACTCAGTCACGTGACATGTGGATTTTTCTTCAATCTGTATTTAGACTCAATCACATAGTCTGTGGACTTTTCAGATTGAGTTTTCTTTTTTAGTAATATGTTTACGTTTCCTTCATGTCTATGCATGTCCTGCTAGCTCATTTGTTTGTAGCTTTGCATTTTAGCCCATCGTCTGGACATAGCAATGTTTATTGATCCATGTACCTGCTGAAGCTATTTTGATTGCTTGGAAGTTTTGGCAATTATGAATAAAGTTATTAAATTCACTTCCGCGTAGTTTTTTGAGTGAGCATGTATTTTCAAGTGATTTGAGACCATATTAGGGAATGTAATTGCTGGTTCACATGGTAAGAATATATACTGCTTTGTAAGAGACGGCCCTTTGCTAAAGATCAGTTGACTGTGTATGTTCGTTTGGGGGCTTCTATTCTGTTCCATTGATCAATTTCCCTGTATTAAGAATTGAAATCACATAATACTAGTTCTCTTAAGTTAACCTCTTAATACTGTGTAGCCTGGGTCTTTTATCCCTCTAAAAGTTTAGACTCAGTCTGTGACTGTTTGCAAATATTTACACCTTGCAACAGGATTACCTGGAATTTACTGATCAAGTTGGACAGAACTGACAATAATGAGGTTCCTGAGTATGGATTATCCATTTATTCTTTATTTCTTATATCAGACGTTAGTACTTTTTCTCTTGTAGATTTTGTACATTGTCTGTTAGATTTATACCTAAAATACTTCATTTTGGTTAATAGTAAATAGCATTGTATATTTTGTTTTTGTTGTGTTTTAAAAGATTTATTTTTATTGCAAAGCAAGATATATAGAGAGAGGAGGAGAGACAGAGAGGAAGATCTTCCATCCAGTGATTCACTACCCAAGTGACCACAACGGCCTGTGCTGTGTTGATATGAAGCCAGAATCCAGGAGCTCTTCCAGGTCTCCCACGCAGGTTCAGGGTCCCAAAGCTTTGGGCCATCCTCGACTGCTTTCCCAGGCTACAAGCAGAGAGGTGGATGGGAAGTGGGGCTGCCAGGATTCAAACTGGTGCCCATATGGGATCCTGGCACGTGCAAGGCTAGGACTTTAGCTGCTAGGCCATGGCGCTGGGCCCCCTAGCATTGTATTTTTAATTTCAAGTCTTTTACTTTATTTTCTTATTGCTTTGTTTGATATTAAACAAGACATCTTTTCCTTCTCGTTACTCTCCCTGGGAAAGCTTCTGCTAATTGTAAGTTTTTGTGTTTTTGTTTTTTTTATTTAGTCAAGCCGAGAAGCAGCCCAGTCTTTTCTATTTTTCTGAGATTTGTAAGGGTATGAATGGATTTGGACTCTGTCAGATGCTCGGTATATTTGTTTATTTAATTGATGGTATGCTTTTTCTTCTTTACCTTGCTGATGTGATGCATTATATTAATTGGTTTTTAAATGTGGAAGCAGCTTTTCCATCATCCGCATGGAGAATAGTTATTTTGCTGTATTGATTTGACTTGCTAATGTTTCAAGATTCTTCTGTGCATGTTTTCTAAGGTGGAAATTTAGCTTTTTGGCTTCAGCTGTTTCTCCTTTCCTAATATATATAATATATAATATATAATATATAATATATAATATATAATATATAATATATAATATACAATATATAATATATAATAATTTTCTTATTATATACATACATAATGTGTGTATATATATATATATTCACTGCTAAAATTTTCTGTTGACACACACAGCTTTTACTGCACCCCAGTTTTGATATGGCAGTTTATTTCTGATTCAGTTACCTCTTTGTTTCACCTAACTTTAGGTTTAATTTGTTTTCTCTGTCTAAATTGGGCGGGGGCTTCATTTACCTGCTTCAGATTGTTCTTCTTTCCTAATCTAGGCATCCACTGCTAAAATTGCTGCCTACACACAGCTTTTACTGCGTCTCACACTTTGGTAAGATACGTCACATTTTCTTCTAGTTCAGATCATATTGAAATTTCTTTTACAACTTCTTTGACCCATGTGCTCTTTACAAATGTGTTGTTTAATCTTGAAGTAACTGAGGAAGTTCCAGCTGTGTTTTTGTGATGTATTTCTACTTAAGCTTCCATGTGGACAGCAGACACTGTGGGATTTCAGTTCTTTTTAATGCTGTCAGGGTTTGTTTCATAGCACAGAATGTGGTCATGCTTGGCGAATATTCTGTGTGAAGTGTTTTATACTTGTCAGTTGTATCTGATTGATTGATATTGTCGAGTTCAATTGTTCTGTTTTTGATAGAGTATTGAAAGTTTTTACCATAATAGTGTAATCATCTTTTTGTCCTTGGAATACTACTACTTATTTTTCTTTACATTTATTTATTTGAAAGGCATAACAGAGAGAGGGAGACAGAGGTTTTTCATCTGCTAGTTCACTCTGCAAGGGGCCAGAACTGCAAATTCGTGCTAGTCTAAAGCCAGGAACCATGAATTCCATCCTCATCCTCTACATGGGTGGCAGGAACCCAGGTACATAGGCCAGGTACATACCCAGGTACATACCCACTGTTTTGCCAGATACATTGGCAGCACGCTGGATTGGAAGCAGAGCAGCCAGAACTCAAAACTGGCACTCTTGATATGAAATGTGATCCCAAATGGTGGCTCAGCTTGCTTCTCCACAGCAGCGATCCCAGCCCTACCAGGTTTTGCTTCATGTATTTTAACACTGTGCCATTAGGTGCATATACATTACAAGTCTTTACATAGAGCCAGGCTAAAGTCCTAGCCTTGTGCACACCAGGATCCCGTATGGGCACCAGTTCATATGCCTGCGGTCCTGCTTTCCATCTAGCTCCCTGCTTGTAGCAGTTAAGAATGGCCCAAAGCTTTGGGAACCTGCATCTGCATTGGAGACCCGGAAGAGGCTCCTGGCTCCTGGCTTCAGATCGGCTCAGCTCTGGCCATTGGCAGCCACATGGGGAATGAATCAATGGATGGAAGATCTTCCTTTCTGTCTCTCCTTCTCTCTGTATATCTGACGTTCCAATAAAAAATAAAAGTAAAATCTTTTTTGAAAAAAGAATCATTACATCTTGAAAAATTTACAAATTTGTCATATGATTGTCCCTGATAACATTCCTCATTTTGAAATTCGTTGCGTCTGAAATAACCATAGCTACTCTGGCTATGGAAACATGTGGTTCTCAATCTGCTTATACTTAATCTATATATGTGTCCATATAGGCAACCTATAGTTGAATCTTTTGATCTACTCTAACAATTCCTGTCTTTTCTGTGTATGTTTAGATCATAAAATTATTGATGTTTAAGACGATTGTTAATATCTGCCATATTTGTTACTATTTCCTGTTCACTGAAATTATTCTCTTTCCTAATTTTGTCACATTCTAACTTTTTTATTTTGTTAATTGGGCATTGCATATGATTCTATGTTTTTTCTTAGTATTTCTATTTCTTGTTTATTTTACCAGATTTACTTATCTGTTTTTATTGTTGTCCTATAGTTTCTAATTTATATTGACACACTAATGAGTTTTAGTAATAGGTTACTATTAATTATATTACAAATATTACCCAAGTCTATTTTCAAATATCGCTTCAGTTGTGTAAGATTACCCAAAAAAATCGCCAAATACACTGCTGCTCTTATTATTTAAAACAAAGAAATTTTTTTTCACCAATGACCAACACTAAATTAAACATTTGTAGTTCCCTTCTTCTTATCTAATGCTTTCATTTTACGTAGGGCTAAATTGCTGACCAATGTATCTTCTATCTCCTCTCTATGATGAACTTCTTTAAACATTTCTTTCAAAGCAGGCTTATTAGC